CGAAGATGGATCATTTAATATGGAAAAAAGTACAAGTAATATTCTGGAGTTGCGCCTCTGCCGGATTGTAAGCCAATTTAGCTTAGATCTGTATTGAGAAATGTGATCATACTTACGAAGCCCAAAGATAAATCTTATACAGTTATTGAAGAGGCGTTCCAGCTTGTTCAGAAGATCTTGGGACAGGTCTGGGTAACACACATCTGCATAATCAATTGTGGGTAATATAAGTGATTGAACAAGCATGATCTTAGATTTTGTGGGAAGAAAATGTTTTAAACGATACAGAGAGCATAACGTGGCAGTGACTTACGACTAACATCTGAAACCTGTGTTCTCCAATTCAGCGTGCTGTCGATGTGAAGGCCAAGATTTCCAACAGAATTACTGAAAGGAATTGTAGTATTATCATAGTAAATAGGAGGTAAGTCTGTCCAGATTAATCTTAGCCAGCATCCTTGAGCTACCCACCAGTATAGCTTGGCATTCCAAAGGATTGACCAAAACTCCACAACGAGTAGACCAATACTTGATAGCTGCTAAGTTGCCGTTAAGGTTTCTGATCCCATTATGGATATCCCCAATCTCAGTTTGCACATAAAGCTGAAGGTCATCGGCATATAAATGGTACGAGCAGTCGATGATGGAGGTAATAAAGTTTATAAAAATTGAAAACATTATAGGAGAAAGAATACCGCCTTGCGGCACACCAGCATCCACATCAGCCCAAGCTGAGGACAGTTGCCCCACACTGACTGACTGCTGTCGACCGCGAAGATAAGATGCAAACCAATTCAATTCAGTAGGGCCAAAATTAAGATGAGACAGTATGGAAAGAAGGATTTCATGATCAACTGTGTTGAAAGCATTTGAGAAATCAACTAGTACCAGTACTGTTATTTTTTTTTCTTCCATGCCTTGTTTAATATTATCAATAACATTAATTAATGCAGTAGTGGTACTATGACCAGGACAAAACCCAGACTGATATATACTCAGTAGGTTATGTTTCGAAATAAAAGTAGAAATTTGCTTGTAAACACAGGATTCTAAAATTTTGGAAAGAAATGGTAGAATGGATATTGGACGAAAATGATTGGGATGAATGGGAGTAGGAACTTTTGGGAGAGGCTTTACAAAAGCCCTCTTCCAAAGATTAGGATACTGACCTGAACCAAGAGAAAAATTGATTATATGGGAAATTGCCAGGAGAAGGTGCTCTAGTATAAATACAACCATATGTCTACTAATCTCGTCGTAACCCACGGCTTTGGACTGGATTGCTAAAATAGACTTTTTGACATCATCCTGAGAAACAGGAGAAAAATTAAAGGTAGGAATGTTAGGAATTTGCATAGAAGCAATGGAAGCCATAGTTTGGGAACGAATTGTAGGGTCCAGTGCTTTTACAGAAGCGAAATGTTGGTTGATTTCATCAAGTGACACAGAAGGACCACAATCCAACGTAGCTGGTCTACAAAGACCGAAAGATTTTAGGAATTTCCACACTAAAACTGGAGAAGAATTATTAATACAGTTATGGAAATATCGGCGTTTAGCTGCACGTACCATCTGATTACACCTATTCCTGGCTGCTTTAAAAGATGTCCAATTTTCTTCAGTTCGATCTCTCTTGAAACGAAGAAAAGCACGATTTTGTCTAGCCATTGCCATCTTTACGCCCTCTGTCATCCAAGGGGCAGGGGGACGCTTTAATCTAACCTTGTGAACAGGAGCGTGAGCATCATAAAGGCTAAGAATATTGTGGTTAAGGATAGTGACTTTATCGTCAACAGTAGATGCTGCTATTAAGGAGGCTAGATCAAGATTAAGAGCGTCATTCCTAAGCTTGTCATAGTCTATTTTAGAAAAACTGCGAAGATGCATTACAGTAGGGGAATATTTAGGAGGTTTAAGCTTATACGATACATAAATTAAGTCGTGGCGTGAGAAACCCAAAGCGGGTAACTGTCCATGCATCATCACATGTTCAGGAGAAGCAGCAAGGATTAGATCAATCAATGAGTCATCGGTTCCGATATTATGATGAGTAGCCTTTAAAGGGAGAATAGAAAGATTAACCGACTCAATAATTGAAAGAAACCTTTTGGAACGAGGGCAGCTTTTCAACAGATCAGTATTGAAATCACCCATGATTATACAGTGAGTTATAATGTGATTATTGCTATTCTAGTGTTACATGAACTTCAGTAATAGCCTATTATTTTTATTATTAAGTACATCTAAATTTGAAACACATACCGTATGGTTTTTTAATTAATAATACTACTTAAAATACTGTCACCACCGAAAGGACATACCAGAGCACACACAAAGGATTCACACCATTTTGTTAGTGAGATAAAAGACCTACATCTCGCTAACAATGTAACTATGGTCAGTTTCGGTGTTCAGTCACTATTCACATGCCTACCTATTAAGACTGCTTCTCAACTGTAACTAGGAAGCTACAAGATAACAACATGCCTGTAGAATATGCAGTATTACTCAAACACTGCTTCACATCTGGCTATCTATTGTAGAAATAAGAGTTCTACAAGCAAGTTGATGGTGTGGCGATGGGCTCACCTGTATTTCCTATAGTCGCAGACATATATCATGGAGGACTTTGAGGAGAAACCCTTCTTACTGCTCCTATAAATCCAAGATTCTACAAGCGGTACGTAGAAGACACTTTCAAAATTTTACCATCTGACAAAGCAACTGCATTTTTAGACCACCTTAACTCCATAAGCTTTAAAATACAAATCACGATCAGTGGCGAAGCTAGGGCTCCAAACTAGGGCAAGCCTAATATATGGTTTTGTTGTTTTTAGCAGTTTAATAAAAATACACCACAAGCTTGAGCTGTCTCTACTCTTTAGTTTCATATTCAGTGCTGTCAAGGATGTGTTTAACAAAGCACACAGAAAGCATGCTACCGCTAGATAGATTGTATGACATATGCAATTGCACACCTTCGGTGGTTTTGAAAAGAGCCGTTTGGGTTTGCTTGAGATATTTACAAACAATACATCTAGCGTAATCTTTAGGTACCATCGTGAGAATCAACCAATTTTCGTTCGATAAAATGACTTTACCTATAGAATTAAGTAGATGGCGCTATTAAAATTTTATATACTGGAAATAACTAAACTGAGTATTCTTTAAAAACCTCAATATATTCTTCTGTATTCTTTTGATTTACATTAAAATTTGGGCTTCACATTAAAAAAAGATTATAACACTTATTTCCTATAAAATTAAACCTAGGTGTCTCATATTTTATGCTGCCGTTCAAAATGATATTTTTAATTCATATGGTAATATAAATATTGAGTTATTAAACCTTTAAATACGCCTAACTTAATTAAACTTTAATACTAAAGAGTCCTGTACCTATATTTAAAGTATGAAGAAATGTTTATTGAATATTAAATTTCATTTTTAAAGATTTCAGTTTTCCTCGCCGATTAGTACTTCAACACTCTTATATTCATCACTATGAACACTATTATCTTCCCATTTTCACTGAAAATATTTGAAAAAGCATAAATTTTTAACAAGCACAACAAAAACAAACATAAACATTGAAATGTGAAGTGAACTTGCACACGAATGGCCCGCACCTGCACCCCATTTGCTAGTCGCTAATGCACTCCTAAACAACCTCAGGGTAAAGCCAGGCTTGTGGCTCAATAGTAATTGCTATATATAAACATTTCGTAGTTATATTTCATCAGAGAACATTGTGCCACAGGTTAGGGTTAGCAATAGTCTTCTTGAAAGCCCAGTAAAAAGCCCACGCATGCGAGGGAGAAAACGAATCGCTCAATTCAACTCTCCTTACATGTATGACTGCATTATTCCTAAGGCTACGAGGTCGAACAGAGCACGCGGGAAATTTGAAATTGTTTAAAACAGTTTAAGAGTTATTTTATTACTTGATATTATTGATTGATTCAGCTTGATAAGGCAAGCCCGGCTTCTGGGCTTCTATAGAGGCTTCGCCACTGGCTTTTGTTTAGAAATACTGAACATGGTAGAGCCATGCTGCAGTTATATTAATGGTTGTAGCACAAATTTGTCAGCTCAACCAGTGTATGACCACGCTCTTACAATAATAGCGGGTAATAGCAGCTTTATACTGCTGTTTCGTATAGTGACTGAGAACTGGAGACTCTTTTTACAATAAACAAGGCATTCCATCTTAGTCCGCAGTGGTGACAACTCATCTGCATTTTGATTCTAAATTGCAGATAAATGTAGATGTTTATGTACCACAGCATCTTCTTCCTATCAGGTGGACTGTGTGCTTGTTTGCCACCCTTTTTCTATAAAAAATCTACTACTGTCTGAGCTAAGTCACTGGCAATAGTTAGTATATCTTATAAAAGGCAATATAGCACATATAGAAATATAAAAGAACTAACATCCCAGTTCAAACCATATTGTCATTATAAAACTACTCAATTTTACTTGTGACAATTTATCAGCCTATTGATTTCAACTAAATGTTGCACTATTTTCACCTTGTGAAGATTCTAGTGAAAATTATCGGTATTGGTTATTTGTCTAATTTAAATTAAATACTATGTACATATCTATGCATAATATTACTTTTAAATGATTAAATATTAGTTCTTATGGAAAATATATATAGTTTTTGTATGTTTTCACAATACAATATGGCATTTTGGACATGTACTCGACAAAACTTATTTTTGCATTTTGAAACTTCTTTGACTGAGACAGTAGTTTGGACCCCAGTTTCCTTTAGTAATAGGTCACTGTATATAAGCATCAAAAACAGAAATATAACCAGACATGGTGTAACTCGCTTCAACAAACACAATATGTTCTAAAAACAAACACAATATGTTCTAATCTAATTTATTTTATGTTATTATAAGATAATATTTGACAATAATACAGCCAATTTATATTCAGCAGACATACTAACTAAGTAATACATATTACTAGATACGATTTTGACTTACCTCTTTGTTGTTGAGGTGTCTTTTCAAACCCAAAATGACAGTTATTGTCATGATCTCAGATGAAGTAAAAAAGGTAGATACAGCGCGGCCTTTATTAAATGAAGCCAAAAACTCCGCTCCTTTATGTAAGCACACGCGTTCACGCACACACATGCATCAAACTACGCTCATTTTCGATCAGTACTTCCCAAGGCGTCATGCAGTAAATTTGCCTACAAAATGCCGTCCTGTGTAGCGAAATGGTGAAAAACAATACTATATTTACTAAATTTTACTATACTAGGTATATTTGTTTTTCACAACACAATTTTGAAGGTTATTCAAAGCACGAATGTCAATGTTTCCAGATTTTTTTTTTTTGAGTTTATGGCCTGGTATCTAGACCTTTAGGCCATGTTTCCAGATTAGGTAACGGGAAATGTTGCCAGTATTTCTTATTTCTAATGGTCCAAGATTTGGGAGCATATATTTTTTTAATTAGTTGTTATTTATTATGTTACATGAAATTGAAGTCAAGTTAAATATTTAATTTTTTTAAGTCGCTGATGTTTCAGCTTTTATTGTTAAGTACTTACAAACTATTTTACTATCAAAAAATATTATGATTTTAGGCTACCAACGAATATTTTAGTAAGACATGAATTTTTCACCTGGTACTAGTATTATAGTTATAGCACGAATGGGTCTAGCGTGACCGGGGAAGGACCGCGCTCTCACAGAATGCCAGCATAAAATAGTAGCATAATGCTGCTGTTACGTATGGCGAGTATAAAGAACCGGAGACCCTTTTCACTGGAAATGAGGCATTCCATTTTAGTCCTCACGAGTGACAACCCATCTGCATTTTGATTCATAATCTAGGATATATGTAGACGTCTATGGGCCACAGCAACCACTTACCATCAGGTGGACTGTATGCTCGTTTGTCACCCTATCCGTAAAAAAAATGAAGGGTAGCTGCTATAAGACTGAGCTGAAATGAAACAAAATGAAAGCCATTCTCTTGACTTGACAGTGGTAGAGCCACGCAGCGGCTATTGATGTCGCATGAATGAGCCAGCTTGAACCGAGGTGGTACCACGACCTCACAGTATACCGCGTGAAGCAGAGGTTTACATCTGCGTTTTGCTTGGGCTAGAGGCCCAATTACCCCTTCCCCTTATTATCGTAGAGGAATCAAATAAAAAATACCCCAAGAGGGTACCCTCACTCCTGGTGACGGAGAATCCCTCGCAGAGCATCCACGAAATAGCTACTTTACTCTTCTTGACCGTAGGTGCTTAGGCTGCTCTGCGTATCCTGGGGGAGGGGGGGAGAATCCCGTTTCTTTCAGTATTAAATTATTTTTTATAATAGACATTTTTATCGCATATTACTCTAGCGATTTTCAGCATCTTATAGTATTGTATCTCGATTTTCAGAGACTTTAAAAAAAGTGGCAAAACTTTTCGGACCCACAAAATTATAATATTGGTTACAGTTTCTTGTTCTAGGTGCGATATCTACCTTTTTTACTTCATCTGACGTCATGATTCAATTTTAGTATTTGCCATCTTACAGACCATGAAGGTTAGAGAACAGGAGAACGATCGCCGTAGAAAATATTGTCCCAGAAATATGGACACCATAAGTGAGGCGCTTTGATCACTAAGTTCAGTCAATAAAAGTCATTTTCAGTCTATTTTTCCGATCAGATGCTAAACCACTTGCACATACACGCACAATAAAATATTTCTCCATTTTTTAATGTTTCTTTTTGTCAAAAATTACAAAATTGCGGAGTATGAAAATTTTCTCATTAAAAATGAAATGAAAAGTACATTATTCAACTAACTTCATCTACTTGTACTCATAAACAGCTAACTTCGCAGTCACTACTCACCGACGTCAGCGCCGCTATATATTCTACAATAAAAATTAAATAGTTATAATTAATATTAATAATTGAATATAATGAGCGTATAATGATAAATTGGTAAATTGACCGAAAAAGTTTATTATTGAGGAACAGTTATACTATAAAGTCTAACACTGATTGTTAAATAATATTGGCTATCAACAGAATGATAAAATTCTGGTATAACATTAAAATTTACCGTTATATTATTAGGCCACATTTGTCCTCCAATAGGAGTAACAGGAACAGCCATTGAGTTGCTTGTCAAACCTAAAACGCTCCAACATAAGGTAGTTATTTTGAGGCATATCATTAAATTATTCCTTATCAGTGTCACTTCACCTTGGGCAACGGCGGAGTTCTTATTGAAACGCTTCTTTTAAGATTTCTACCTCGAGATCGATGGTCATTATCATGTAGAGATTTATGATGATCGTGGTGTCGCCAACGGGTTGATGGGAACCGTTTTATGTTTTTGCCTACCATGGCATCTTTGCTTACTACGACGATCAGGAGCACTAGAGCTATAAGAATTGATTAATGTTGACGAACTTCCATAACGTTTACGAGCATGACTACATCGCTTACGTGGCGACCCCATAATGTAAGTTTATAACCAACCGACAAACCCAAAAATTTAATTGTTAAAAATTAAGGATATTTTTCACTTGTGTCTACTAAACTAACGGTAACAAATTAAAGGAAGATAAATATTTATAGTTACAAATATTATAATTATAATCTTATGATACCTTAGATATTATGATGGCAAAGATATTGCTATTTCACTTTATAGGTATTATGGTAACAAGCTGTGAAATTATATTTAAGCAATCTTAGTAAAAAGGATTAAATTTATCTTATTGTCTTTAATCGAATTGTTTCAATCACACCTAATCGTTTTTTTTCACTTTGTCAAATCGTATTCACTGTACTGTATTATGTCAAACTGTATACACTATATGTGGCAGCTCGAACATCAAAACACGTTGCCACTTATGAGATTAACACAGACAGAGGATGTATTCAAATACAAATTTATTAAGAATTTTTAAAGAGAAATTAAAGTCACTGACCTTGGTTCATAGTAGACTCACTTTAGCAGTCTTCATTGCGAATACTCCAAATCGACTTTAAGACAGGATATCTTGCGATTACGTGTGGGTTATTTCATCCCACTTCTGAATCTGTCGGCTTTTCTCCAATAAAACCACAACAACTCACTCAGTTAACTGTTTAACCACTATGTTCGTTGTTTAATTTTACTCTTAAATTGTATATAATACTTTATAACACTAGACTTGACTATTAAACCCTCTCAGCGCCACTGTTCGTAATCAATTGCCGCGAGCGTCAAGTGTACGCGCTTTTATATTGTGACTCAATTCTAGAATTAATGTAGGTAGTTTGAAATAGATTCATATTAATATTAAATGTGAAGATTGCTAAGTAATATTGCACAATGATCATGTATCTAACAATAGATACAGTAGAAAAATCTAGAGTCCGTAAGTAATACCAAGTCGTTAAAATAAAGTAATTCACTAATACAATCTTCATGACTCAAACTTACACCATCACACAGAAAGCTGAAACCTTAAAGTAAATCTCTTTTCCTACTTATAATGAAAGATTGTTTTTCTTTAACCATTTAAAAACAAATTATTGGTTTGTAAACCACTGGACCTACTTTGATAATATTTGTATTTAATAATTATATTCTTTGTTTTCAGCTGTAAATTGTGGTTGAAATATTATATTCCTTCCCAAAAGCAGTATACTACTTAAGCTATCCAGAAAAAGCTACATAATGAGCCCAGAATGCTGTGTGAAACGAACGAACATTTTCATGATGGTTAATTTAATGATGCAACCAAGAAGAAGTTCTTAAGAACTGCAGTCCCATGTGATGTAAGTAAAATGTATAATGTATATAGTAATGAATGTATATAGTTTTATTAAAGGATTACTCAGATGTTTTATATGGGGATTCCTATATTCAAGAGTGCACTTTGATTCTGTAATGAAGATGATGATGATTATTCAGATGACCATCATCTGGATCTAATATGGTTGGACAGAACACATACAGTAGTTTTAATCCTGCTAATGCCTTTAAACAATTTATAATAATTGTATAGGACAAGGCATCCAAAGGATTGAAGTCTATAAAGTTAGCACAAGCCCTTATTTACATTATTAAAAGTGCAACACTGTGTATATTATTTTTAACAATTGAATAATTTTTTTAAGACAACAAAAAACCTTAAGAAAGTTCAGGCATCACATTCTATGAATAATTACATTTTGTCCTAAAGCTATCAAATTTAAAGGCAGCAACTTGTACAACACAGCAGACATACATGCATCAAATGGTTCTCAAATAATAGATAAACACAAGACTTCTCTTTTCTTCACATAGTTATTGTATTTACTATCTTATTTTGTTATATTATGTGTAATAGTCGGTGTATTATAGAACAAGTTGGATGAACAAGATCCATTCTTTTATTTTGTATTGGTAGAAAGGTAATGTAGTGCCATGAGTAGGGACTGGTTTACTATGAAAGTAATGTCGATGAATATAATGTTAATTTAATATGTTTATTATACTATAATTTAATTCAGTTTTTATTTATTTCCAGACTGACAGTGTATTCCCATTTTATTTTGTGGAATCATAAGCTGGTCCCTCGCAAATTATTGCTGCAAAACCACAAGCGGGATCTTCAAAAAGGACAACATTATATTCACTGAAGAACAACCACAAACATATCAAGGCATATCAGATAATGTTGAACCTGAAAAAGAAAGTACTCTATATGAAAAATTTAAAATTACATTAGAATTTTTTTTAAACTAATATTTAATATGTTTTATAATTTTGAATTATAATTATTCTATTTATAAGCTGCATTTAATACTCAATATATTGCATATAATATAGAGACAAAATTTTAGTGTTGATTTAGGGAAATAGATAGACAACCAAATATTATCAAAACAAAATTATTATTTGTAGATATTGCACTTTGCACTTGTGTGTAGGGGCTTATTTATTAATTAACTTGTTTTTGATTAAAATATTGATATTTTGGTTAATATAGACATTCTGTGATTTGTGATTGTGCATATTATCTGTTCATTCATGATT